ATTCTGTGTTTTTCTGTCAATATGGGGTGCTGTGTGTACATTAATGAGGAAAAAAATGAACTTAAATGATTTTAGCATATGGCTGCAATATAACAAAGAGTGAAAAATTTAAGGGGGTCTGAATACTTTCCGTACCCACTGTATATGTGAATGTCCTTTAAAAACCCTAACTTGGTGTGTTAACAGATTTGCAGGTAATGCCACGGGGTCAGTTTGTTTTAGATGTCCAGTGCATCCAGCTGTTTTCCTTCAAAATCTCAGGCAAAGAAACTTGCTTTTCTCTCTGTGAGATGTATTGTTGTTGTGTGCACTCTGATACGGGTGGACACATCTCACACCATTGCAGTTTTCCTAGTAGACCACTAAATTTTTTCACTGGTCACACAGACTCTGGTGGTCCAGACACACTTCTGAAAACATCATTTATTATGCTCCCAAAGGAGAAGTAAGAATTAAATATTTTGTTGTTCATAGAAACTATCTTTCAAATAACTAACATTGGGTCAATAGAGGCTCAGTGGTGATCCATCAGATTGTTCTGGCTTATTTATTCTGTTCACTGTGTCTCTGAGGTCCAAGCTCACTAAGCCTGGAAAAGAAAACCCCTTGGTGACCTATGAGTTGTTGGTTTACTGTCTGGAATAGAGCTAGGACATTGGAGTACAAGCCTCCAGGCAACAGAACAGTTGGAGAGCACCAACTGTTAAAAACACACATCACCAAAACCTTTTTACCTGGCTGTCCGTCATGATGGTTGCTTTACATAACTGACAGCTTTTTTTCCAGTTATTAAGGACATCTTTTTTTCCCTCTGACAGACCACTGTGTCCACTACTATGATCTACGCAACACTAAGCAGCCCATCATGGTGTTCAAAGGTCACAGGAAGGCCGTGTCCTACGCCAAGTTTGTCAATGGGGAGGAAATTGTTTCTGCGTAAGTCCGTTTTTCTCCATTTTTGAATATTTAGATATTCCCTGGGCATTTAGTTTAAGTCATAAAGCTGCTACAATGACACTGTAACCATTTCCTATGCACTTCTTGTTTATATTACCCCTAAACAAATGTTGATACATATGGTACAGTAGTTATGTTTCTCTTGTTTTGTTGGCTTTGCTAATCTTCAGTTAAAATAAACTAGATTTCATGAAAAAAATACTCTTAATTGAGAAACACACTAGTGAAATGCACTTTTACCATGTCACATCACCAAATTCCCTTCCGTTCTTGACCCATCATGTACTGTATTTATCATGTTTAATGGCAGTTCGACAGACAGTCAACTGAAGCTGTGGAATGTCAACAAAACCCACTGTCTGCGCTCCTTTAAGGGTCACATAAATGAGAAGAACTTTGTAGGACTGGCTTCCAATGGAGACTATGTTGCCTGTGGTAAGCATTTATAATTTTTCAGACTCTTCTTAAAATTAATTTAATTCTTTTTTTTCTCTCATCAGTCTACACACAATACTTAACAATGATAAAGTCAAAACAGGTTTTTGGAGGGTTTTGTTTAAGCTACAATAAGGATCAAATCAAAATCTAGCTAGTGTTAGCATGAGAATCAATCGCCTGTGCTCCGCCCAGCCCTCCCCCTCACTGCTCACTCCACTCTGCTCCACGATTCATCTGACCCTTCATGAACTTGAATCCATGATACAGTGATGCAAAAATGTATAGGAACTTCCACTATAGGGCAGGCAGACATGACACATTTACAGCCAGCACAGTTTGTGAACATTGGTGTAGAAAGAACGAATGCGCCCCGAAAAGGTTGTGTAACAAAAACAACACTTCGCCACTCTATCGCATACAGGATACATACTGTTCAAAAACATGTCTGAAAATGACTAAAACAAGATGTTGAGTGTAGCTACATTGCAGTAACTGAAGAGAGTGGCCCACAGCAGAGTAATCTCATTGTAGCTGTAGCAGGTGCTAGACTCCAAGGCAAAACAATTCTGCTGGTGAGCATTAAAATAACATAACTCACTGAACCGACTGGCCTGCTTCATGTCTACTGTAAAACAGCACAACTGTGCAACAACTTCCACTACATGACAGATGGACAGGACACATTTACACCCAGCACAGTTTGAGAACATCAGTAGAGACATAAGGGTGGGTTCTGCACATCCACAGCAAAGTTTTGTGAAACCATTTTCAATTGTCGTGTCACAAAAACACTTGGGTGTTTCTGTCATATATAGGACACATGCTGTTTGAAAATGCATCTGAAATTTGATAAAATACACTGAGTGTAGCCACAGAGAGAGAAGCAGCTATTGCTGCAGCAGATGCCAAACTCGGATGACGAGAGTCGGACTCCTGGGGAAAAATGTCCAAGTTAGTGGAGACTATAGCACATTCAGCTGGTGGGCATCAAAATAATGTAATCGAGGGGGCTTAATTTTATCCATTTTACTTACAAACACTTGTCAGTACATAAATATTGCTCTGAAAATGGCCATCATTTGATGTTCAGTTATTAACCTGCAACTGGTGTCAACATTAGGGGTCTGATGATACACGAGACGATACACGATATTGGGTTCACGAGGACAATATTTGAACGCTATAAGAAATCTTCAAAGACGAAATCTATGACTGGAAATGCAAAACAGTGCAGGTGCATTTTGAAATGTTTTAACTAATCATCTTGTAATGAATGTCACTTCAGTTCTACTTTCTGAGTATGAATTATCATATGCAGTAAAAGACGACTATGCAGCACTGGAAAAGGTTTTGCCACAAACTCAGCTGACTGGCTTGTCCTCCTCAGATTTCATACGAGTCTCTTCAAGCCTTAGAACTGTGCATGACCTATGTATGAGCTTCTAACTTCTAACTGAAGCAGTGTGTGAACTTGTATGCTATCTTCAGCCTCACCGGATGGTGACATCATCCGGAAAAGGTGCTGCTTTGTCCACTCGCGTACGGGGGACGATCGGAACGTGGACGCCCATGGGAAGAAGACTCTTTTGTTTACCTTGTTGGCAATAGTATTCACTGCTGTTCACTATTGAATTTGGGCCACAAATAACACATAACGACAAACCATGCATTTTTGTTGGTACTGGATGTTAAAATGGTGTGTTTGTATCTATCAGTGCTGACACACTGGTGGTAGAATTGTTGCTAAAGTAGAGCAAGCTACATTAGCAGCATGGCTAACCAAAACACAATGAAAACTCATTGGCTGGAAATGGGAATGAAGCCACTCACGTCAACTCATAACAACATGGCTTTTGGCACGTGCCTACAACACTCCTCCTGCAACCCCTCACCCCCGACCAACGCAGCCCTGTGTGTTAAAACACAGCAGGTAGTTGTTGGACTAATGTGAGTGTACATCACTTTGCCGTCATACTGGCTGCTGTATGTTTCCACTTTGTGGAGTTTTGTGTGTAGATTGATGAGAAAAAATTGAACCCATTTTAAGAAGATGTCTGAAACATAAAATGTGGAAAAGGGTATGAATACTTTTCATATGCAGTGTAAAAGACTACCAGCCATGTTGCAAATAATAATAATCTGTACAGCGGAATTTATTTAAAATTAGTTCATCAGTGTAGGGGCACCACTGTAAGAAATGATTGTCTAGAAGACAATATGAAACTTCTCACTTTGGCTACATTATGGCCAGAGTTGTGGCCAAATTCAGTCCCTGTTTAAACAATGCTACAAATGCCAATATGAACATGAATGAAAATAAAACCTCTTTTGTTTGTGTGTACACAGGTAGTGAGAACAATTCTCTGTACCTGTACTACAAAGGACTTTCCAAAACACTGTTAACATTCAAGTTTGACACAGTGAAGAGTGTCCTGGACAAGGACAAGAAGGAGGACGACACCAACGAGTTTGTCAGTGCTGTCTGCTGGAGGGCCCTGCCTGATGGAGTGAGTTGAGCTCATTATTATGCTGCTGCTGTTGATTTTGATTGATTAAGCTGGGCAAACGCTATTCATTTTTTACTAGTTATGTACAGTGTCTTAATTCACGATGTACGTTTTAATTGGCACTCCTGCACAGCCAGATTCTGTGACTTCACTGCTCACACTGTACGTACACAATGTGAGTGCTCACAATGGACATTTAAACAGAACCGAGTAGAGAGGAAGGTGCAGCCGGGCAAACCTGACAAAATGATGTGTATTGTATTTTCTGAAATGTAGACACAGGTTGATGCAGTTTTACTTCAGCAGAACTGAGTTCAACAATGTACATGTTTATTTGTAATGTATGAACAAGAAGGAATGGTGGAGGGTTTTTTTTTTTCCAGGAATGGGTAAGAATGGCGCTAGGAAGGGGTAAGGGTGGGGCATAAAGGGTAGGAAGCGGTAAGGGGGTGAGGTGTGGGTAAGATGGGAAGGGGAATTTCTTTTCTTCTCCTTCTCTTGCTCTTCCATGTCTTTCTTCTGCTAACTAGCTAACTAGCACTGATGACGATAATAATGCTGGCCCAGTTTGTGTCTTTCTTCTGCTAACTAGCTAACTAACACTGATGACGATAATAATGCTGGCCTGGTTTGAGAACATCCATCCATCCATTATCTATACTGCTTATTCCTGAATAGGGTTGCGGGGTGCTGGAGTGTATCCCAGCTGGGCAAGAGGTGAGGTCCACCCTGGACAGGTCACCAGTCAATCACAGGGCTGACATGTAGACAAACAACCACACACATTCGCACTCACTCCTAGGGGCAGTTTAGTCAACCAAAGGTGCATGTCTTTGTGGGAGGAAGGTTTAAGAACAGAAGCACCTAAAATTAGTGGGGGTGCACTGGTACAGTGTGGGCTACAGCAATGAAAAATAGTGTAGGTGTTATGTGTCCTGTGATAATATATTTATGTTACTGTTTTCTCAGTAATTCACATGAATATGTAAGGTTATCTATGGCTGTAACATTCACCCTCTAATAGCTACTAATTCACAGTTATTCTGCCACACCAGACAATAAAGTCAGTCTAACATTTGATTGTGTGAGAAGTTACAGTACAGCCAACTAACTTTAATTAATGTATGTAAACTGCATCTGCACATGTGCATAGGTGCGCTCTGGTACTTCAACAGGTAGCACTACACCTCTGGTCTCGTCCATATTATATACAGTCTATGGCCTCTTTTCAGTTCATTTTGTCCACAAAATATGGTATCTCGTCTGTTATGTTTTTGTCTTTGTATGCACACAAGTGAACTGAACTGTGGACCAGCCAAATTTCTGACATGACAGAAATGCACCGATTATTCAGAAGGCAGCTCATTGGTTGTTCGGGTGATTAATCAGGCGCCGGAACCCTGCTTGCACTAGACTGAACCAGGTCTAAAATGGGCCAAGTCCGTACAGTGTCTGCTTGGCTTTACAGGGAATATTACATCAGTTAGTCTGTATTCCTACTAAACAGTGTCTGAACACCCTTCTGTCTTGATGTTTTTGTACAATGGAAAGGTTATTGTAAGTTGTGTATAAATAAAATTAAATCCTCTTAAATAGTATTTACAAATATATAAATTGTTCAGAGTGGCACAGCAGTGCCGTGGTTAGTGCCGTCATCTTACTGTTGATAGTAAATCAAATCATGTTATCTTGTATTAATGATGTCTTGTTTTTCAGGAGTCAAATGTACTGATTGCTGCAAATAGTCAAGGAACAATCAAGGTTTGTTTTTGAAACAATTTTCAGTCTTGGCATTACTGCTTTCCTACTGCTAGCAGTCAAAATGCACAGAATATAATCATTTCAAACTGTAATTTATGGATGCTGTGAGTACTAAGGAAGGAAATGCCTTTCATTGTCATTGACAGCAGAAGTCTTAGTTGTGAGATTTCCAAATGTCATCAAATAAAAATGATTTGCAGGGCTAGAATATCACAAGATATGATTGTAATATATTTTTGTAATATGCATGGGTTAACCTGTCCTTTTTACAGTTTCCAAATATTCTTTGTGAATTCAGGCTTATGCTGTAATAGTTTAAAGTTTTTACTCCAGACACTGACCATGTAGTAAAACGGTGGTTACCTGTCAAAGCAGTTCCTGTGCTCATGTTATTGTTTTAAACCTTAGACTGTATGCATTGACAGCAAGCAGCAGATGACAGGTCTTTTTTTTCCTCTCCACACAGGTACTTGAGCTTGTCTGAGCACCCACTGGATCTTCAGCAGGTGATGGACCAACCATCAGCCTCCATTTGTTTGGAAGAAGATCAGTCTGACACAGGGAGAGCCCAGGGTGCCTGCTGGATTTGGATGCCCGACAACACCAGGAGAGCAGAAATAAGAAGAATCTGTCTTATTTTATTGAGATGCACAGCAGTAAAGACTTTGGACTAGTACCTTACTATAGCAGGAGAAGATGTACTGTCATTTTTCAGTAACAAAATGACAACCTAGCTTGGGCACCAAATGAAGCGAAAGCTGAGAAACCATTTTCCTTTGTTTTGAGCAAAAAAATATAAGCTACAATAGCGCACTCCTTAGGTCAAATCAAAACTTGTACCTTTTTATTTAAGCTGTCAGTGTCGAGGGTACATCAAACCAAACACAGCTGGTATCATGCATATTTCCTTTTAAAGGCCAAAGCACAAGACAAAATGACATGCAAAAATGTCTTTATAAGAAGCTTTTAACCCCACCAATATTTTGTCAATCTGTTTTTTTCCCCTTTGTGTAGTTTTTGTGTTTTTCAGATTGGGAGAAACCAGTTTTAATAAATATGACTTGAATTTCATTCTCTCAGTTCATGTTCTTGCTTAGTATGTGTAGAATGTGAGGTAGTGTGCTGAAGTCGAGGATGACCAGTGGTTTCTAGAAATGTTGGGAAAGTCCTCTCTGTGCTGATACTATCAGAACAAAATGATATTTGACATGTTTATGATTACAGCGATTTTCATGCAACTTAAGGCATTCATTTGCAATGCTATACTGAACTGGATTTTTTCCCCCCCATGTATGTGAGCTATTTGTTGCTTGTTGAAAAATGAAAACCTCACAGTCAGATTTAGTTATTTTAAAGTAGCAATGAAATTACTCTTAACATAAAGTAGGTTAAAACATCTGAACTGAACTGAGCTGCATTGTAACCTATGGCAAACTGCTGTCAGTTTTTGTGGAGTAGTGATCCATGTTGACACAGGATTTGGTAAACATGCCAAGGCCTACCTATTCTAGGATAACAGGATGAGAGAGGTGTTTTGTATTTGTATAACTGAATAAATTATTTCAAAACAGTTTGGTGATATTTTTATTTGCTATTTTTGGCATTTCAAGCACTCGACAGCAGGAGCCTTTATCACGAAGCGAGATTAGTGGCTAACGTTGGGCTCAGTTCTGGTTTTCCGGTACCACAAAGCTGGCTCACTTTTAATCGGGCTAGATCACCACGGCAATTTATGCTGCATGGCTAACCAGGTCTAGAGTAGGTTAACTTCAGAAGATTGTATCAAAACCTGTCAACACCCTGAGCACCATGCAATCAGATCACTGGGAAAACTGTGATTATTCCTATGTAATTACAAACCAAAATCAATTCGATACACTAATCAAAATAATAGGAAAATAGTAATGTTTTCAGTATGCAAAGAACTCCAGTGGTTAGGACAACAAAACCCAAATGCTGTTTCATCACTTTAACCTTAGGAATGACTAGAAGGCTTGAACCAGAAGACCTAAGACTTCTGATATGTTCATACTGAATGAGTGGGTCAGAGGAGAACTATGGTGTTTTCAAATCCTAAACAACAACAACAACAAAAAAAAAAAGAATGTGTTTTGTCATTACTTTCTAATTGGTTTAAATCTGGTTCTTCTGAAACTTCAGAGATGATTCTGGTATGTTGAATGGGAAATCTGCACAAGGAAATGGAAGTGGGTTTTTTTTTTTTTTATAGTTGATAATCATACACAATATTGGTCCTATGGGAAATGGGGTATAATTATGGGGATTGTATCCTTTGTATAGTGGCCAGTGATTATTCATTTAAACAAACGTTTTGACTCTTTAGTTTTTACTTATCTTTATATAGTATTTCACTCTAATTTTGGCGTGAACAGAGACAACCGCGATGAGGAAGGACAGGAAGCAATTAATGGGAAACAAAAAAATGGAACTGTTGTTTAGTAGCAGCGGGATGTTTTAGCAGACGGACCATGGACAACTAGCTAGTTAGCGGCAGCTGGAAAGAAAACTGGACTTACCTTAAACCAACTTGTAAAGTTATTCAGTCACACTTAGTCTAATACACAGATAGCTAAACGGCTCCTTTTAGTTTTAACCGCGTATTAATTTGATTCGGAGGTTTCGTGGGGAAGATGGGGGTACCGAAATTTTACCGCTGGATTTCAGAGCGCTACCCTTGTCTCAGTGAAGTTGTCAAAGAACATCAGGTAGGAAATCAGTTGTAAATACTGTTAGCCTTACAATCGACTTAACGATACACGCAGCGTTAGCTTCGTTAGCTAGTGGCTATGATCGAGCTAAGTATAGAGGTTCCGTGTAGCTTACGTGACAGGACAACTCTCTTCTTGTAAACCATTTTGCCTCACGTTAGCTGTTACATTATTTTAGATTACCCTATATTTTGGAACATAGAAATAACTTAAGGCTAATTTACCAAATGCCAACACTTGCTAACTTGCTGCTTTGGTCATCTATGTGTACACACTTTAATGCTGGACAACTCAAACTGAGTATAACTTAGTAAATGTGTTGCCACCGGACAGTTTAGGTCTTTGTTGCGAAAGAACATTCTGAACAACAATAAACCCATTACATTCAGTTCGCTAACTAACATTACGCTAACAAGAGATGAATAAAGGCTACATTGTTACCTTCTAGTCTACAGCCACCGTGCTTTTCAGTGTGAAATTTTTTACAAATGCCGTGATTAAGCATATGGGCAACCTGTTTTGGTTGTCAATGGGAGCTTTTTTAGTTAGCGTAAAATCACTTAAATGATGGACTGTTACCTTGTTCCCTGCGTAGCGAGGGCGTACGTATTTCAGTACTGGAGTAGCAATTTCATCAGCTGGACTGTGTTCAGCTTGACTCTTATTGCGTAAGATTACTTTGTATTAAAGATTAATAAAACGGCATTTTGCACCAGTAAATGTGTACTGGATAACACTGGTTACTAAACCTAGGTGTCAAATTATGGGAGTGTATGTTTGTTATGTGTATCATGATACGTATCAGTCTGGAGGATGGCACCAAGCCAAACGAATACTATTGACGGCTGTTAAAATCAAGTTGACCCTTTCATTTATGGCACCCAAAATGTGTCATGTGAAGGATACCCCCTTTCACATACACACAAACTTTGAAAACTCTAAAGAACTTCAAACAGGAGGGTTTTTGCTGTTGAGAGATACAGGTGCATCTCAATAAATTAGAATATTGTGGAAAAGTCCATTTATTTCAGTAATTCAACTCAAATAGTGAAACTCGTGTATTATATAAATTCAGTACACACAGAGTGAAGTAGTTTAAGCTGTTGGGTATTTTAATTGTGGCCCACAATTAATTTAAATTTGGCCCACATTTAACAAAAACCCACCAATTCACTATCTCAATAAATTAGAATACCTCATAAGACCTATAAAAACATTTGTGAATTGCTGGCCTTCTGGAAAGTATGCTCATTTACTGTATATGTACTCAATACTTGGTAGGGGCTCCTTTTGCTTTAATTACTGCCTCAATTCGGTGTGGCATGGAGGTGATCAGTCTGTGGCACTGCTGAGGTGGTATGGAAGCCCAGGTTTCTTTGACAGTGGCCTTCAGCTCATCTGCAT